CAGCCATTGTACACAACTACTTTTACGCCAGATCTTCCTCCCATATTTTTTAACTATAGGCACGATGCATGAAATTTGTTCATTCCCTCAGCCCAACCTGCACCCTCTCACAGTCTGGGAGCCCTTGGGGGATCTCCCCAGGGGCCTAAGCCATCAGTCAGACATCCTTAGCGCTGACTGCCGTGGAAGCAGGAGAGGCTCCCGCCACCACTGCTCTTGCCAACCATGAGCCCAGCTTCTGGCAGAGCAGCGCTCCCCCTTGGGAGCCCACTGACCACCAGGGGGCAGCTCCTGCATTGAGTGTCTGCCACCTGGTAGTGTGCCTCATAGCAACTGGTAGTTCCACCATTCCGTCAGTTTGCATATTAGACTTTTATTATATAGGATGGCTGATTTGGGAGAAACCTAAATGTCAAACTGAAATTGATCCCTGTTATAACTAACTTTTGGCCAATATTTTCAGCCTGTCCAAATATTTTTGAATTGTGATTCTGTTATCTTACATATTAATAATCCTTCCAGTTTTGTGTTGTTACAGCAGATTAAAATGCCTACCTTGTAGACCAGTTATGAGATTTTTGTATTTGCATATTATATGAAAGTATTCTTAAAACTGTAAAGTGCTATACAAATGTAAGTGATTTATTTCATTCATCAATGATTCATTAAACTGCTAAATTAAACTGCTGAGGATAAAGCTCAAGCTGACACTGAACAAACTGTAGAAAGTGAGCTGGATGAAGTACAGTTAGGTAGATCAAAAGATGTCAAACAACTGTGCTCAGTCCTTAAATATACTGTACCTAACTCCACTACCATCTAGCTCACAGTTCTTCACTTTGCCCCTATATGATCATGAGAGTCTCTTTCAGTTGCCCTTCATTGTTATTTATGATAGCCCCCTGATCTGTCTTTCAAGTATCCTATCCCCAAATAAATGGATTTGCCGGGCTTGACTTGTTTTTAGTAAGCCTCTGGTGGTTCACATTAATCATTGTTTCACTAAAGAGGACTGAGGAGCCCTGGCTGGTATTGCTCAGTGGTTAGAGTGCCAGCCTGTGCACTGAAGGGTCTTGGGTTTGATTCCTGGCCAAGGGCATGTATCTGTGCTGCAGGTTCAATCCCCAGCCCTGGTCAGGGCATTTGTGAGAGGAAATCAGTCATTGTGTCTCATGTTGATCTCTTCCTCTTCTCCCTCTCTTCCTGCCCCTCTCTCCCCTTTTCTCCCACTCTCTAAAAAAAAAAAAAAAAATCAATGGAAAAAATATCCTCGAGTGAGGATTAACAAGAGAGGACTGAGGAGATAGAAGTTTGGTAAAGTTGATGATACTTTCCATCTTTTTGGAAAGGCTTGCAAATGAAGGGAAGGCCTTTTAAACTAGTCATCCTACCCTGTGAAAAGTGTGGTTAAACAATTCAGAAAGGATTGGGGAGGGAGAGAAACATCAGTGATAAGAGAGAATCATTGATTGGCTACCTCCAGCATGCCCCTCATGGGGAATTGAGCCTGTAACCCAGGCATGTGCCCCGACTGGGAATAGAACTGTGACCTTCTGGTTCATAGGTTGATGCTCAACCACTGAGCAACACCGGCCAGGCAGTAATGAGTTTTTCTACAAACCTGTTTTGCAGTGTTCCTGCAAGGGCTGGTGTGGGAATAAGCAGTGTGGGTGCAGGAGACAGAAGTTGAACTGTGGCGTGGACTGTAGCTGTGACCCCACAAAGTGTAGGAACCGTCAGCAAGAAAAGGTAAGATCAGTGCCATTGCCCCTCATTTTTTCCACTAGTTTCCGCCCTTTTCTTCGTGAAATCTGGAATCTCCTGCACAACTCTTCTACTTTTCTCTGCAATCAGAAAAAGACACAGTTCGCTTAATCCTACTTCCTCACTGCTAGCCTGTCCACACATCCCCTTCAGAAACCACTGCCCTTCCCAGAAGATTCCCAGGTACGAGTTCCCCATTCCCCACCTTGGCTATAACGTTTCTATAGTTTCTGAGGCAGGAACAAGAAAACAGGCATTTACGGGCATATAGACATGCATGATCAGGCTAATCCAGAGGCTTAGCTGGAGCTGTAAGGGCCACATGCTAAAGTGGCAGCTTCCAGGAAGGAAGTTAATCCTTCTGACATCTTGAGACATTAGTTACGTAGCCCCTCTCCATGAGAACCAGCTATTCTCTAGGAAAAGATTCATAGGAACTTGGTCTTTCTGATGGTCACTGTTGTGAGCCAAGCTAATTGTAGCTGTCCTCCTTACATTGCTTCCAGGAATAGAAATCTCAGGGAAACAAAATGTGTGCTGAGAAAAGCAGCACCAAGCAGGTCAGGCCCACATACTTGCCTTATGCCTACCTGTGCCCATGGCAAAAGCTCATTCCTACAGCTCTCTATGTGATAAAGAATAATTTTAGCAAGCTTAGTCTAATGATCACTCATCATGTATTTCTTGAACATCTACATGTGAGCAGTTTTGCCCTGGGTTTTCTATTTAAAATACTTCTAAGGTAGGCAGTCATTAGAGGATTAAAACGGCAGGCTAGAAGTAAGGCTAACAACTGTAGTTGTCTCGGGGACCTTGGGAGTCTATTCCTGTGGCTAAGTAAATAAGTCAGGCAGAAAAAATCAAGAACTATATGATTTCACTCATATGGGGGATATAGAATTGAAAGCAACAAATAAACAAGGAAGGCAAACAAAAACTCATAGAAACAATCAACATGTTGGTTACCCGAGTGAAGGAGGTGAGAGTAGTAAAGGGTGAAGGGGGTCAAATATATGGTGACAGAAGGAGGTTGGACTTTGGGTGGTGGGCACACAGTGCAATATCCAGATCATGTGCCATAGAAATTTACACTTGAAACCTATATAATCTTATTGACCAGTGTCACCCCAATAAAAGATTAGACCTTAATCCAGTTCTTTTTTCATAACAGCAGGTTATAATTCTAATCTAAGCTCTACCCCAGAGTCACCTCACTGCTTAAGTAACTTCCTTCTCTGAAAAAAAAATAATACAGACAACACCCTGTATAGGTACTAAAAAGAATATTGCAGATTGAAAAAAGGGAAAGTTAAAGAAATCACCAAGGCTTGGTCCTGTGCCACGATCCTACCTAGTCCTTTACCTTCAGAAGCTGCCGTCAAGCACCATGACCCCCAAGCAGGGTCTCCCTGAGACTTGCTTAGAAACTGATGAGGCCCTCCAAGCTGGGGTCTCTCTGGTTGAAGGGGAACGGTGATTCTATAACCCTGGGAACTGAATTTCTAATAGCCTGTCTGCTTGATTCTCAGGAAAGCTTGGGAACTGTTGAGAGGACCCAGGATTCCGAAGGTTCCTTCCAACTGGAGGATCCCACAGAAGTGACCCCAGGATTAAGCTTCTTCAACCCTGTCTGTGCCATTCCAAGCAGCAAGGTAGGTAGGCTAAAAGGCAGGCATTTCCAGCTGTATTATGGTCCGTCTCTGCCTTAGCTCTGACCGACAGGGGTGGAGGGAAGGGGAGGAAGTGCCAAAGTGCTTGTTGGGAACTGGGAATGGAGCATAGTCTGTTTCTTCCTGCTTCCTGCAGAGCAATCTTCTGGAACACCTCATACTATTGGAGGTGTCCTGGGCCTCCGTGGGGGCTAAGTTGGGCTGTGCCTCTGCCCCCACCTGAGATGCAGTCATCTCTTTGTCTGTCCTTCCTAGATCCTGAAAGATATGTGTGAAGTGAAGCAGGTTCTGTTCAAGACTTCTCCAGACACCTCCTCCCTTGGCCTCCCAGAGTTGAAACATGTAGCCACAGAATCCCAAGAAAATAAAGCTCCAGGAAGGAAAAAGAAACGAGCTCTGGCCAGCAATGTCAGCTTCTTCTCTGGCCGCTCCCCTATTGAAGAAGCCCCCTGAAGTTGGACTCATCTCTGCCCCAGTCTGGCTTGTAAGACGCCTCTGGTTGCAGCCAGTGGAGGTTTTTTAATGACTCTTCTAGATTTCACGTTTCTTGCTGTTGATAAAAGGGACAGCATGTTACTGAAAAGGAAGGAATTGTTTTGGCTCTCAGTCCTCACTCTCTAGCCCTCCAGCCCCAGATTACTGATTGCTCTCTCCTCTCTAGAAGGGTGCTAAGTCGCCTGCTGAAGACAGAACCAGCTGATCTCCTGCTGACTCTTTGGGAACCAATTCCCAGCACAGTCTAGCTCTTCCTGATTTGCCAACAGTTCAGGCTGCCTCCCAGGGCTGTCTTATCTCTAGGCTCTCTCAGCTTCATGACAGAGCCTGACCTGGGTGGGATACCTGGCACCCATCTTTCAACCCACCTCAGGAAGGGGCTCTCCATGGTGCTGAGGTAAATGAAATCTTTAAGGTGTTAATGTTTTTTTAAAAGAAATAAAGCTTAGTGCTTCTATTGTTTGGAAAGATCCTTCCGTGCTATACTTTCAACCCGTGTTCCTCTGCCCCTGGGAACGCCAGGCAAGTAGCCAGGTCCCTCTGCCTTGTCATGGCCCCTGTTCCCCGAGAGCCGTATGGAGCAGTACATCACGTCTTCACGTCACTCTGCTACCTCAGGACATTGGAAGAAAACTAGCAAGGCCAGTGGCTCGATCTCCACTATATAGCCTGCCCAGCCTCTAGATTTACGAGGAAGGGACATATTTACTAGGTATCCCCATGCACCTGCCACCGTTTTATTTGAAGTCACAAAGTAAGTGAGTAATAGAGCTAGAACTTGAACCCAGGTCTAACACCAAAGCTTCGTGTGTTATTAGAGCGGCAGTGGTGGCAATCCCTACAGCCCTGCATCCTGACTTCCTACATGAGCATGGGCATGGGGCCACACTGCTGCCTGCTTTCTCCTTTGAAAGGGGAGCAGAGGGGTGTGGCTTACTCCTTACTGAGCATCAGAATTCTCCATCTCTGCTTAAAACTGCAAAGGGGGCCAGCCCTAAAATGCCAAACACGGGTTGCTGACTGGCCTTACAGCCTTTTGAAGAGTTTTCAAGGCCTGGGCCTCTCATATCCATGCATTCTGAATCCCAGCCTTCCCCTCCCCTCCCCCACACCCCAGTAAAAGCTTCCAGAGCACCCTCCAGAACTCAGCACATGAAAGCCCAGACTCCTTTAAAATCCACCAGAGGCAAGCAAAGGAAACTGAAGGACGACCTGCTGGGAATGAAGCCTGCAAGAGGACTTAACTGCCCTGCAGCCCTCCCTGGCCTTCTGCCAGCACGCAGCCCTACTTCTCTGCATTTTAATGTTCAGGAAGCTAGAGAGCCTCTTCCATTGCTAACTAGAGGCCCTGGATACAATGGGAAGGCAGCGAGGGAGGAGGGCTGTGTCTTGGCATAAGAGTGCCAATCGTCTCTCTAAAACCAGTGTGTGTGGGAGGATGGGTAAGCAAGCTATCACCAGAGAGGCATTCTTTCCCGCCAACACTGCATTAACCCACGGGCTTTGAGCCATCACATCATAGAGGGAAGGTCAGTCCCACCCAGAGCCCTACATTTTCGTGCTGAGCTAACTACAAGTGCTAGCCAGCGCTGTCTGCTGATGGCGTAGTAACAGTACTTTTGTATGTTGTGGACAAAAAAGGGCCACATAGTAAACTAACAAGCTCAAGGGAGGCCTGCGTGGTGGCCTTACAGACTCAGAGACCTACAGTAACCACATCGGATGGTCTGAACATAAAAATTCCTAACTAAAACCAGTTTATGGGAGGAGTCACATTCTAGGCCTGTATATCTTTGACATAGTTCAGTCTTTACCCTAAGTGAGACGGTATATTGTCTTTTTGCATCTAAGATAACATACCCTTGGAATGTCAGAGTAATCTCATCCAGATCCTTCAGGGCACACCAGAGCAGAGACTATGAACCCTTCATTGTTATCTTGTTGCCTAAATACCATCTCTATGTGTTGTAAATGCTATCTTATATCCACCAATGTAAAAGATGTCTGAGTCTCTCCATTTCACTCTTTATCCAATCTTAGAAATTTTCCTTCTTTTCTTTCTCCTGACCCCTTAATCTACCACCAATGGATTTCATGTAACCCTCCTTAAGTCTCCTCCTTTGATTATAGTATATAAATCAGGCTGTGAAAGTGCCATTCTCCGGAGCATCTTCTCAACCCCTTCAGATTTTGCTTCCCAGCGATTGTCCGTTTGGCTCAAATAAAGTCATAAAAATTATCTACAGGTTTGAACGTTTCTTACATCAACAATGTGTTCATATTTCACAATCCAGTGACCCTAACCCCCGACACTCCTCAAATGATTCTTGGAAGGATACTTCAGATGCCTTGGAAATAAAGCAGCTGGAATGATGCGAGTCTCAGCCATCCTGAATGAGCATATACTGTCTGGGGTGATGGATGGGAAGGGTAGGGGCCACAAAGCCCATGGGGACCTCTGGCCTAGAAACAGGGTGATCTGCTGTCCAGATACAGGGAAGTAACTTGCAATTCTATTCTCTCTTCTTGGTGCACTTTGCAAAAGTGGAAGTAGACTCCCAAGAGGGAAGGGAGGCTGATGAACGAAGGCTGTCCTCCCATGAAGCTTGAGACCAAATGCTGGACTCCCCCACACCCCTTCCCAGGGGGCAGGCTGGGCCCCTTTAGCAAGTTGCAAAGTTGTATAGTTCACCTCCCCCCAGCTTCCCTGCCGCCTGCCAGTGCCCTTAGCCCCCGCCTCCCAGAGGCAGGACAAAGCCCTGGCAGTGACTGAGGGGAGCAGGAGGAGGGACAGAGGGACCAGGAAGGCTGCACAAAAGAATTCCTCACCCCAAGGCGGCAGCGGCAGCGAGTAAAGAAGCAGATCTGCTCTCCCTCCCATCTTCCCACTCTGAAGGCACAAGCCAGAGAGCAGCTGCGGGCCTTGGGAGAGGACCCACACAGCCTCCTGTAGGTGGCAACAGTGCCACCTGTTTGACTGGTGGGGCTGAGCGGTGGACTGAAAGAGAGGAGGCAGACAACTCAGAGAAGATCTGGGAAGCAGTCCAGTGCAGAGCTGAGAGCAGAGCTGCCGCTGAGAAAGGTGCGAGGGTTGGGAAGGCTGGGGGCTACGGGCGGGAGCAGCGGGCAGAGGCTGGCTCCAACCAGCAGGGATTGGGCAGCACCCCTGCTCAGCTTCCTTGGGGTTTTCAGGCTGCTCAGACCTGACCCCATCTTCTAGACAGCTCCTGGAGGGAGGCGGGGCTCTGGCAGGCAGTGCCTGGGGTATGGGACCTGAGGGGGGGCAGGAGGTGCTGATGGAGCCCAGGGTAGGCTACCGTAACCCAGTCCCAGGGTGGGAAGAGGCAGAGCGTCCCTCTGGGATGACTTTTTCCTGGAAGGCAGCTCAGAAAGCAGAGAGGTTTTCTTCCCCTAGCCTCAGGCCCCCACCCCTCCACAGCCTACCCTAACCTCCTTTCCCAAGGCAAGCATACTGTAAGGAGGGCAGTTTCAGGAGTAGTTACACCCTCCCTCCTTTCAGGGGCCCAGCCACTGTGCACCCCTCTAAGACTCCACAGCCTCAGGAGAGTCCGAATGACAAGGGTTGTCCCATAGACCACACATACTTTGGGTGTATTTAGGAGCTCCTTTATACACCCAAAGTCATCAGCAAACCCGTTTGTACTGCCAGCCACTAGCACACATGCACAGACAAGTGCTGACACAAATCGCACCCCTTCTTTGGAGAATCGCCATCACACACCCAGCCTAGTTTGCGATCAGTTAAGCCAGCTCAGTCTCAGCCTGACTCAAAAGGACAAGGAACAGGGATCACCGGTCCCAAAACAACCACACCCCCATACCTTTGGCCTGTATTTGTTGCACTTTCACCTAAGGGACCTCAGAGGGTGGGGCCCTGAAAAGGAAGAAGTGGAGCCTGGGTTACCGATTTGGGGGGTGGGGGGACGGGACGGGGTGGCAAGTGATCAGACTGGGGCAAGAAGCCTTGGATTTTCCAGGTGTGCGGACAGAAAAAGAGCCCCTTAACAAATCTAAAAGTGGCCCAGACTGCCTGTTCCCCTGGCTTCCTGTTATTGGCCGCGCCCCCTGGCCCCTGGAAGGTGGAGACAGAAGATCTTTCAGTCAGGGCTTTGTGATGTGTGTAATCTGTATCCATAGTAACTGGCCCACTAGCTAGGCCTCCCTTTAGCCCCAGGTCAGAACTGGAACTTCAGCCTCAAGTTACTCCTGATTCCTGGGGCTGCCCGAAACTTGGTTAAATCTGCCTCAACTTGTTGAATTGAGTTTGCCCCCCTCCAGGCAGTTTCTCCTGTTAAATGGACACACTGGTAAGTAGGAGAGATTGCGTGTTCATCCAGAAGGCCAACAGAGTGGATGTCCCAAGTGTCCCAGACTGACCCAGATTAAAGGGAAAGACCCTGGAGATTGTCGTCCTTTGCTCTACTTCCTCATTCATTCTGGCACACGGGGCCTGCTCCATGACCTCCATTGCTGGGCAGCAGCCCAGGCCTTTGCTTCTCTGTCAGGCTCCTCAGATACACTGGGAGGAAGGCTGGGATCTGCCTTCACGGGGTCCCTGATGGCAGAGTATCTCTTCCCCCAGGCTCTCACCATGGCCAAGTGCCCCAACTGCTGCTCCGCCTGGGCCCGAAGCGTCCACTGCCTGTATAGCTGCCACTGGAGGAAGTGCCCCAAAGAGAGGCTGAAGACAAGCCAGGTGGAGTAGGGATGGGGGCACCTGAAGTCCAAGGCAGAGGCCTTGTGAAGGGGAGAAGGAGGCTAAGGATGCCACTACTCAGAGGAGCTGGGGGCGGAGGAGAGGGGCTTTCTCTCCCCAGGAAGAAAATCTCTCTCAAATCTGGAAAAAGCTGCTGGCTAAGCAAAGCAGCCCAACACCTGGCAGGAAGTCCTTTGAGCTGCCACCCATTGGGGACTTTGAGCTGAAAGCAGGAATCGGCTGTGAGCTTCTCTCCTGCTCCTTTACAGTGTGAATATATGTGGTTTGGCCTGCTCTTCTTCACTGTCCTCCTCTCCTTGGGCTGGCTGTACATCGGGCTCATCCTTCTCAATGACCTGCACAACTTCAATGAGTGTGTCATGGACCCCCTGCCTCAGCAAACATGTCAACCTATTCCCCACCCTGGACCCCTGGGTGCTCAGTCATCCCCAGCCCTGCCCTTCTCTCCTGCTGCCCAACATCCTTAGGAGACCCCTTCCACAAAGGCTCCCCAGTCCTTGAAGTCCCTGGCCCTGTGAAAGGCTGCCTCTCACTACCTGGTAGTTCTCCTTCTGGGTCCACCCACCCCAACTTCCCTCAGGCCCCTGCTAATACCCCTTCCTGCACTCGGGTGCCACCCTCTCCCCTCCCACAGATTCCTGTTCCGCCACTGGGGACATTGGATGGACTGGTCCTTGGCACTTATGCTTTTTGTCTCTCTACTGGTCACATATGCATCCCTGCTATTGGTGGGTATAGGGGGACACTTGCCTAGCCCCCGCCTCGGCTCTTCCTTCTGGTTTAGCTCTACCCTGCCCCACTGTGAGGAGGGAAGGAGGGAAGAGTCAGCCTGGGAAGCCCACCTCAGTGGTCCACCTCTTTTGGCGCCTCATTACTTCCAACACCCTCTATCCCCAGCTCCTGGCTGTGTTCCTGTGGTTCTGTGGCCAGCCTCTACACCTGCACAGTGTCCACAAGGTAGAGTGGGAATGGGAGTGAGCAGGAGAAGGGGCTCCTGAGCCCAGCATTTGGTTGGCTATTGGTCAAAAACCTCACTATTCTAACTCACTATTCAAGACCTGAAGCCCAGTAGATATTTGTTAACAGAAAGAAGGAAAGTAGAGGAGTCAGAGGAAGAGAATGGTTCTGCTTTCATAGAATGAGGAACAGCCCAGGTAGCCTATTCATCCTGGGTCCCTCAGGTGCTGCTGCTCCTCATTGTGCTGCTTGTGCTCGCTGGCCTTGTGGTACTGGACGTCCAATGGCAGGAGGAGTGGCTCAGCTTACGTCTGTCACTGTGGGTGAGTGGCTGATATCCACTCCCTGGTTGGGAGCCTGGGCCTGTGGCCAACCCCAGGACCTATCTTGCTTCCTGGTCCCCCCAAACTGCAAGTAGCTCTAAACTCTAAAAGTCAGGTCCTCAGAGGAGAAAGGGAGGACAGAGCCCTCCTCACCATCTCTCCTCCATAGGCGACAGCCCCGTTCCTTCACATTGGAGCTGTTGCTTTCATCACCATCCTGGCCTGGCCTGTGGCTGATAGCTTCTACCATATCCGCAAAAGAGGTGCCAACTTTACCCCCATACACAGTATCCTGCTGCCTGATTCCCTGCACCTGCGCTCTGCTTTCTGCCCCCAGAGCTTGCCCACTGCCCTTTCTCCACAGCTGGTCCCCCACTCCT